CAGCATCTGCAAGCTGTTGGTCAGAGAACATGTGCCAAAACCAGAGTATGCACATTTGCTATTTCATGCAACAGTTTTTGTGACAAAATTATTGGTAGAGTTGAAAATGTGATGGAAAAACATTGAACTTTAGATTTTTATTCGGTACATGAAAACGTAAGCTAAAAAGTACATTTTGTGTGCAGTACGTCATTCTGCACTGATTTTTATCTGCAACAAGTCAGTTTGGTGGAAACACCACTGGTGTGAAAATGCGCATATTTTCCTTATGCAGATTTTTAAATATTCACATGAAAATGTGTTGCCAATTGGATGGAAACCTAGCTACTGTCATCTATTTGTGTTAGGCTCAAATGGATGGAAACCTAGCTACTGTCATCTATTTGTGTTAGGCTCAATTGGATGGAAACCTAGCTACTGTCATCTATTTGTGTTAGGCTCAATTGGATGGAAACCTAGCTACTGTCATCTATTTGTGTTAGGCTCAATTGGATGGAAACCTAGCTACTGTCATCTATTTGTGTCAGCACCTACGTCATGATGGTAAGAGAGAGAGATAGATTAGGGGGGAAACTATCAAAACCTCTCTCATATACTTAATGTTTTGTTGATTACCTTGGCTATTTGCATTTTACATTACAGACTGCCTCATTGTATGTAATGTTTTGGTTATTGCATATTCCCTTAAAAGACAATGATTATAAATTAATAAAAAATCTATTCAAAATAATTAATTAAAGTTTGTATTTAAAGATATTTATTACTACTAGTTTATTACTACTTTATTACTATTATTTCTATTAGTGTCTATTTATTGATAGCTTTCCACTCAACTGTGAGTCTGCTTGGAATGCCTATGCAAATTGCATGATGCAGTAGGCTCTCCTTGTAGATGCCTGTCATGTGGCATTGCTTGTGAATGTCATGCTCATGCACCCACCCACACACATGCACACACAAACACAATAGGTTCCTAACTGGAGTCTGCTGCCTGTTTGTCACCTTTCCATTGTGACCTATATACTGTATGTGTGGATTGGAAGTAGGCCATTACCCTAGTAACCTAAATATGGCATTATCTCGTTACAAGACACGTTCACCTAAGGCGTGAGCCGATCATATTCTTAGAACTAATTAAGTACATCACTCAAAACAAGTCGACAGATTTCACGGATAAGTCATGATAATTATCTTAAATTGTCTTAAAGACAATTTTTTGTCTTGTGACCAACCATGTTGTAAGTTATATGAAGTGGCATGTTTTTACTTTAATAGTAGTCATTTGTTTAATTGAGAAAGTGAATCAAAATGCACCAGAAGGAATAGATTATGTAGACCCGCAAACCTGCTTGGATGTATTCAGCTGTGGGGTTGGTTGACTGTATGTCCATCTGTTTTCAACTGCCTGACTGTCCTTTTTACTTGCGGTTTTAATATACATGATTGACCACGCAACAGTGTTTCCCCTTGATAATTTTTCGCCCTGAAACAACATTCAGGAATGCAAACACCAAAACATTCAATTGAACCCAACAGAGACCACATATTGTTGTTCAGCTGGGGCCGGGGGTAACACAGCTTAATGTAACAGGGTTGAGTTCATTAGGGCACACAATGGAAAACGAATGGGTTTTTCTTGTTGGACAAGTCCTGGTCGTCCCATCCTGTTTCATTCTGTTTTCTTCCATTCTTCCATTTGGTGTCTAATGAACACAACCCATCTTGTAAGAAATTCTCCCACTGCCTCTGTAGACGTCTGTTTTTGACGGGATGTGTTTATGTTGTCTTTATGTTCCAGGTGTTTGGCTTGGGCTCTGTGGCGCACGAGTCTTCACTGCTATAGCAGGCTGGGGGGCAGAGGTGTTCAGGTAAGACCAAAGGAGGGGGTGGTGGCCTCCTAGCAGGGTGGGGGTCAATTTAGTTTTGGTTCAGTGAATCCAGGAAGTGGTTGATATTCAATTTATGAATTCAAAAATTCACACATCCCACAGGCACAGACGTCAATTAAATGTCTATTCCACGTTGGTTCAATGTCATTTCATTGAAATTACGTGGAAGCAACCTTGATTCAACCAGTGTGTGCCCAGTAGGATATTTTTCCTTCCGAGTTTAGACAGGTGTTAATGGTGGGGTTGGCAGAATGTTCAGGTGTTCAGTGTTCAATTACAGGGCAGTAGAGGTGTTTTGGAGTGGACAGTCTGTTTTTGAGTGGACAGGGTGTTTTGGAGTGGACAGTCTGTTTTTGAGTGGACAGGGTGTTTTGGAGTGGACAGTCTGTTTTGGAGTGGACAGTCTGTTTTGGAGTGGACAGGGTGTTTTGGAGTGGACAGGGTGTTTTGGAGTGGACAGTCTGTTTTTGAGTGGACAGGGTGTTGTGGAGTGGACAGTCTGTTTTGGAGTGGACAGGGTGTTTTGGAGTGGACAGTCTGTTCTGGAGTGGACAGGGTGTTTTGGAGTGGACAGTCTGTTTTTGAGTGGACAGGGTGTTTTGGAGTGGACAGTCTGTTTTTGAGTGGACAGGGTGTTTTGGAGTGGACAGTCTGTTTTGGAGTGGACAGTCTGTTTTGGAGTGGACAGTCTGTTTTTGAGTGGACAGGGTGTTTTGGAGTGGACAGTCTGTTTTTGAGTGGACAGGGTGTTTTGGAGTGGACAGTCTGTTTTGGAGTGGACAGGGTGTTTTGGAGTGGACAGTCTGTTTTGGAGTGGACAGGGTGTTTCGGAGTGGACAGTCTGTTTTTGAGTGGACAGGGTGTTTTGGAGTGGACAGTCTGTTTTTGAGTGGACAGGGTGTTTTGGAGTGGACAGTCTGTTTTGGAGTGGACAGGGTGTTTTGGAGTGGACAGTTTGGTTTCCCATGCTAATGAACTTCTGCATTTTTCCCTTTGTCCTAGCCATTCACTTATTTTTGACATGTTCCTTTGTGCTGTATCTGTCCTCTTGTTTCTACCACAACAGGAAAAGGGGCTAGCCCGTTTGTTGTGGCATCTGATTGGATCTCTGGCCTTTTGTTATGGCATCTGATTGGATCCCGCCCCTTTGTTATGGCATCTGATTGGATCTTACTGGCCGTTGCTGTCCAATTGTGGTAGGAACAAAAATCCGTCCATCTTGAACCCAAAAGACGTCCCTATTGAATGGATAAAATTATTTTGGACTCAACATTGCAGCTGATGTGATGCATTTTGCGTACATTGACTGACTGACTTTTATTAGATTGTTATATCTACAGTGTGTGGGAGAGGAACACACTTGTATCAAATGTCTCAGAGTAGGAGTGCTGATTTAGGATCAGTGTTGCCTTTTAGATCACAATAAATAAGATTACATGGCCATCATACAGCACCCGATGTCACAGGAAGGCCAAAAAGATCATCAAGGACATCAACCACCCAAGCCACTGCCTGTTCACCCCGCTATCATCCAGAAGGCGAGGTCAGTACAGGTGCCTCAAAGCTGGGACAGAGAGAATGAAAAACAGCTTCTATCTCAAGGCCATCAGACTGTTAAATAGCCATCACTAGCACATTAGAGGCTGCTGCTGCCTATTGAAATCACTGGCCACTTTAAGAAATGGAACACTAGTCACTTTAATAATGTTTACATATCTTGCACTACTCATCTCATATGTATATACTGCATTCTATTCTATAATATTATTCTGTATCTTAGTCCATGCCGCTCTGTCATTGCTTGTCCATATATGTATATATTCTTAAATCCCATTCCTTACTAGTTTTGTGTGTATTGGGTATATGTTGTGAAATTGTTAGATATTACTTGTTAGATATTACTGCACTGTTGGAGCTAGAAGCACAAGCATTTCGCTACACCCGCTATAACATCTGCTAAACACATGTATGTGACAAAAAACATTTGATTTGACTGATCTACAAATAATAATGAGTAGTTATTTATGATGAAGGTCATTTGAAGATCAGACTGACTGGTAATTTGAAGATCAGACTAACATTGCAGTTGCCTGCAATGTCGAACAATCCCAATGTGATAATCAGGAAATCTTGTCAATCAGGAATTCTGATGACATGTTAAAGGAGCGCCTACTAGAAAATACAATAGATTGATTCCAATGATCAATGGCTGCCAGTTCGCAAAATGTTAATAATAGAATAGAAATTCCCCAAAGTTATTTTTGTTAGATATTTTCTTGATTTTGACCACTATAACCAATCTCCTCTCTCTCTCTGTTGTGCAGGGCAGGTAACGGGTGGTGGTGGGTAACTGTTCTAGCCCCCCTGGTGGGAGGAGTCACAGGGGCAGCCTGAGTAGAACTGAGTAGTTCTGAGAGCACACTGATTGGACTGGTTACTTTCTAGACAGTTCAAGTCCTATTGGAGGTGGTCCAGACTGAATTGTGAAAGTGAAACGGAGCATGAATTCAGTTTGGATCGCAGATTTAAGGATGAATGAGACTACCGCTAACAGAAGTGGAAGCTGCGTATAAATGTTGGCTGTAGGTACAGGTCTAGGATCAGCTTAGCTTACCCCTCAACCAATAGAATCGTGGAGCCATGAAACTGAGAGAGACTATGTCAAGAATGTAATTGTCTCTCATTACTCGTATTTGGACAGTGGAGAAAATCTGGACACATTATAATGGACAATGACTCAGGTTTAACCTCAAGAATTCCCCTCTGCATTTAATAAATATACGGCCATGGACACATAAACACAACATGGAAAATGAATAGGATCAGCAGGAGGGCCCACAAGGCTTCCCAGGGACTAGCATTGCCAAACACACACACACACACACACACCCACACTTTTAGGAGAAGAAGCATTTACAGTATAGTGGTATAATACATACCGTTTCCCTGCCATTAGTGACTCGGGAAGCCAAGCGCTGTAGCCCAATTAGCTACCATATACAAAATGAACTTAATTATTTTGATGGGTAGTGGACTAGTGGCCTTAGATGTTGCTTCTGGGCCATTTTCACCCCACCCAAGAAACAAATGTAGCGGAAACACTGGCATATCCTATGGTAAACACTGCCATACCCCCGCCCCCACTATGTCTCCCTGGGCTAACTGTTTCAGCTTGGCTTTGCCCCGGAAGGCTTTGCTGGGGTCCAGCTTGTTGACGGTCTGCTCTCTGGCCAGGTCAGCCATACTGGGCTCACAGTGGAACGTCAGAGGCTTGTAGAGAGACGCCCACTGCTGTTGAGAAAAAAGCGGCTATAATACTGTTTTTCCCTCTTGAGACGCCGTAGAGTTAATCTAACATAACTCAATATTTTTTTAACATGTATTTTCCTTCTTTATTATTGCTGAGGATGTTGTGTGCACAAACAGCCTAAAAAACCCTTGCTGAAGACCAAAACGAACAAAAACGTCACAAGATGTCATAATAATATATGCACAAACCGTTTCAGATGGGAAACATGCGGACACCTTTAGGCATAATCCTGTTTTAAGCATTATCACCTGTTTTAGGCATAATCCTGTTTTAAGCATAATCCAGTGATTTATTTGTTTTAGCTGGAAAGTTCTTACACATAGCCTGACTAACTGGGGTTTGTTATGTTTGACATTACTGTATATATTGTACATACATTGAAAGAAACAAAATCTATTTTTACCTTGTATGCAGTGGCTCACATTTTTGGCTATGCTGATTTAGCATTTTACTTACATAGGCTACATGATAGTGGGCTAATGGTACATGTATGTCTACCATATTTACAATTATATCTACATGCAATACATAAGAACAATGGGTCACATTTTTCAAGTGCTTTTAGCCACCCCATGTATGTTCTTTAATTTTTCCCCAATTCCAGCCAAATCCCTGGACCCCACACTAGCCCCTTCTAGGAAGCGACGGTATATGTATTAGGATGGCCTGGGGCCGTAGGGGGTGAAGACGTACTGCCACTCTGGCAGGCCCAGGTTAGTGATCATCAGGCGGTAGTAGGCGGTGAAGCTGGGCGTCAGGTAGTGCCAGTACAGAGAGTGGTCCAGGAACCACACCTCACACTGCAGGGCCACCACACCTGAAACCAAATATCCAGGGTGACAAGGAGCAAGGGGGATACAATAATGAGGCACACATTTCCATTCATGTTAACCTGTCAATAACAATTTCGCTTTATAACTTTAATAACATTTGGTGTAAAATATGGCAAACTGAAATTGTCTTACTCTGTTAATCTGTCATGATCCTTTATGCACACAGTGCATGTGGCCAATCACATGGGTTAATGGGAAAGTACCTTTTGTGCAGTCTTTATAGACCAGGCAGACTTTGCCATTCTCGCTGCAGGGGTCCAGCTCAAAGATACGGCTCCTGGAATCAAAATGGGGCTCCGCTGTCTCACACTCTGACTCTGAAGAAAACATAATGTGTGAATGATGTGTGTGTGTGTGAGTGTGCTACTATTGTTGTAAACTGGGTAGGCCTATCTATACACGTAGACGTAACAATTTACTGGAAAGTTTGCTACAATACCCTGTATTCTACTAGATGTTCAACATTTCGACAAGGAACCCATAGCTAGATGATTGAGCATACAGTAACATTGGAAGCTGAACCTAGAGAAAACACTAAGTAACTGAAAAAAGTGGTGTCACCTTCAACTTGGGGAGGGAGAACACTGACGACGACTGGCACAGAGGACGCAGTTTGGCCACACCATTGAGCAGCATGCATCCTTAAGGGACACACTCATCTGGTTCAATAGAAGAAGGCGTGTCACAGAGAGAATAATAGATCACGTTCACTTGTCTTGCTGTACTGGGAATCTCCTCTATGCACTAAAACAACTTTAAATAATTTACACAGCAAAAAAATAAACATACACTGGAAAAACTGTGCAGATGCAAAGATTGGCAATAGAATTACTGTAAAATCTCCCTCAGTTTTATTCTGTTGCCAAACGTATCTGCACAGTTCTTCCAGTAAATGTGGTTTTGTACAATTTTCTGTGAAATTGTTTATAGTCATCATCCAAATCCTCTACATACTCCACTCTGTGGTGAATAAAATAAAGTTCTATATTGTTGTAAGACACACAGAATTTAGTTGACTAAATTTACAAAACGACATTACTGTAAAGTAAAAACACCAAGCCTAAACTGTATCTGTACAGTGACTCACATAGAAGACGTGAAGCACACACACAATGCAAACAGTAACACTTTGGAGACAAAGGCAGAGGTGAGAACCACAAATAAACAATGGCCATGAGAGTTTAGTGGCCTCTCCAAAGTTACAAGGATGAAACCTAGAACAGCATACAGTGAACTAATATGAAACATAGACAATAACTACTTTGGAATGATATAACATTGAAATTACTTGTTACATAGGCCTATGCAAACTAAATCCAAAGCACAAAATGCAGACAACTTATAAAAAACGAAATACATATAGTACATTAGCTATATAAAGTCATGAAAATAATTAACTTACAGAAGTGGATCCAATCCTTCTAGAAAGCAATCTTCGTCGGCCGAGTCAAAATCCTCGTCCAAATCGCTCCCCTAATCCGAGTCCGACTCCGGTATACTTATTCATAGCTGCCTTCTTTTTAGTTTCCTGTTCGATATTCTTAGTTTTTACCTTTTTTCCCGCCTTGAGAAGCCATCTTTTATGCTAAAGCGATGAAATGAAAGTGATGACATCTGTTTACAATGTAATGTAGCGTGCTCAGTGCGTCCCGTCTCTGAGCCAGGTAGTTTGCATTACGCATAAAAGGTTCTAGGCCTTGCTTTGTCCCACCCAGGTCAACTGCATAGCCCTGGAAAGCTTATCTCGTTGGCTACAAGACTGTCAAGGTGCCATAGTGGCCAATCCCCTGTGTAATGGATGTCTACAACGCGTAAACAGGCAACTTCATATTTTTGATGCCCAAAGATAGTCACTCGGTGGACATTTGATGTTGCCATTAAGTCATACATCATCAGATAATTGGCAATATGCTAGATTTGTTCCTACCAACCTAACGATTAATTTGATACCCCCCATGTAGCTATAGCTCAAACACAGACCAAATCGAAGCTTACCTTGTAAGCTGTTTGCTGTTTGGTGAAACCTTTTGACTCTCCGGGCTGGTAAATCACACCAAAGATTTTAAGGCATCGATCAATAGCCAAGATCCTCAGCTTTCCGCAGAAACCCTGCTTTTGCAGATAGGGGCTACCGTTATCATACCAGACTAAATTGAATAAAAACAATCAAATAGGGTCCCCAAATATAGGGACTTTACATTTAAGAGGTTAATAAAAATAATAATAATATATATATATATATATATATATATATATATATATATATATATATACTCCGGTGACAACCTGGTTAATTAACAATATTGGGTTATAAACACATGTTTTTTTATATAAATAAATGTGGCACACAAAGGCAGTGTAGAACACCAAAAACACATGAAATCTGCTGAAATACGTTTTGTACATATTTGCACAAATTGAGTGTGAGATTGTGTTGCAACGCATGTCGAGAATGTTGAGGAGAGAATGTGCATTGGTGTGATCACTTTTGGCCGGTTATGATAACATTGTAGCACTGATGATGCATTGCAAATTGTTGCACAGGACAGACAGTGACGAGAACAGTGAAAAAGAAGATCCAAAGGAATTGACAACCATTCGAAAAATGCAAAACACTTGCAAACCACTTGAGCAATGAGGAGGGTATCTAGCAGCAACATGGTCTCATTAGAATAATTATGTCAAGATAGTGTCATTTAACCATTGTAGCTGTACGTCTCAAAACATTCAGACATATTTCTAATAAAGTCTTCTAGTTTAGTAAAGGCAAACGAAGGCCGGGATTTTATCCAATCGTGGGTTATAGGCAATTCAGCTTTAAAAGGCAATGTTCCAGTGGTCGCAGAGATTGCATTCACGATAAACGCTGCATATGTCAGCTCAATCGGAAATTGCATTTAAAAGCTGCATATAACCCTTGATTAGATTGAATCCCATTTATATGGGATCCTGAGTGCCGCAGCGGTCTAAGGCACTGCATCGCAATGCTAGAGGCGTCACTACAGACCCGGGTTCGTTCCCGGCTGTATCACAACCGGCCGTGATCGGGAGTTCCATAAGGCGGCACACAATTGACCCAGCATCGTCCGGGTTAGGGGAGGATTTGGCCGGGGTAGCCTGTCATTGTAAATAAGAATTTGTTCTAACTGACTTGCCTCGATAAATAAAATACAAATTAAAAAATATTATCTGGTTGTAGAGACACAGTGGTTGTGGATTGTCTTACAGCGCCCTCTAGTGTTAACCAGAAGTCTCACATATCACCATAGTGCTCCCTAAAGTTAAATCCACTGACCAAGGTCCCCACTTTGTTTGTTGTAGAGCAAGTCAAGGTCTAAGTCAAAGGTAAGAAAACTATACCTTGAGAAAACATGAATGAAATTATATCCTAATAATCATGCGAGATACATACCCATATCAATGTCCTCTAATTGACTTGACCTTTTGCCTCAGAAACAAAAGGAGGAGGATCTGTCAGCCCTAGACCACCTGTCTGGACAGCTGAGTTCAGACGTAGTGCCAGCATCCACAAATAAGGGTGGCAAGAGCTAGACCTCTAGGTAAGGACTACAAGACTCAACCATCTTTATTGAAACTTATTTCCTAAAGTACTAGCATACATACTATTTAGTCTGAATCTACTGGCCTAGCATACTTATTAATATCTTATGACAGGTTTTTGACTGATGTATGTCCTGTGACATTGACTGATGTACGTTTCTGATGTATTGCAGGTTTCTAGCGCAGTACATGTCCCCTGCCACACGGAGGCGCCACTCGAGGGAGCTGCTGTGATTCTATTTTTTTTTTTATGGTGGAGAACGGTATACTGGATAAACAACACACACACACACACACACACACAGTGTGCAACACCTTTCCTGCTAGGTTTCGCACATGACAGAAGAGTGTACCAGTTTTGGTTTATTTCCTTTGAGATGAGGAGAGCAAAATAAAGAGAGAACAAGAGAGAGAGAAAGAGTTTGTTCCAATTTAGAGAATCTGTCCAATCCTGTGAGGAAAATGAAATATTGGGCTTGCCCACAAGTGGCTTGACTTACTGTCCATCCTTGCTAACAGTCTGCATTGCCCCAATGTACCAGTGACGTTGCTGCAACATTGCTACAGCATACAGTTTAGGAACAGTATATAGTGGGTATGTAGGATCGGGATGTCTGTCCAATCTTGTTGTACACAGAAAAGCGAGTTCTCTATTAAATGGACAGCCACCATAAGACAGTAGTACTAGTACAGCATAGTCTGCTCAGTTTGATGATAACACTTCGTTTTCAATATTGAAATGTGTAAAAGGATTTACAGGAAATGATCTGCTTGATACAGATGCATCAGAGCTCATGCAATTATATACATTTACTTTCTGTAAAGCAATATCTATTAAGAAGGGGTTTATGTGTGTGTACTTTGCCTTATAAAAGCATTTATTGGTTTCCGAAAGTGGACACACAAGTGAAAAACTTGCTCTAGATATCACGACACTGTATAATTTACACAGTACCAAGGGCTATCACTTCTAGTCAAAAAGTCCAAAGCTTTGTGGATTTTTTTCCGAAGATGGTTTCACATAATTCTACATATTTAGGTGCAGGTCTCAAACTTCAAACTTGATATTTTGGAAATGGGAATTCAACTTTTTAAAATTGTTTTTACATCAGAATAATTGTGTTTTGCTGTGTGTATATATTCAACATTCATGGGTCTGAAGTAACTCCTTGTGCCACCCTCAACAACCGAAACAGAAAAATTATTTTGTAGCTAACATGGGGTAACCTAAATGTACCTTGCCAATAAATCAATTAATGCCAATAAGAAAATGCCAAAAACAAGATATGACAGTAGTAGAATACATTTGTGTAAGAGGGTCTTTTGGTATAGGGAACTTACTGTATATTTGTGTTGCAGTTAAGGGGAAGAATGTTATAATATATATATTTGGAAAATCTTTCACTTCTTGCACGAAGCAGCTTAGTAGTTTTTCAATTTTGCTAAGCTTTACAAAGCTGCTTCCTTCTTGGAGCTTTGGTACGTGTGTTCAACCCCAATTTAAATAGGCTATTCTTTTTTTTTGTGCAACGGCCTTGGGTGCTTGAGTAGAACTTGAATAGATTTCAAGTGTTGAAAAACAAAACATTTGAATCAAAATCGATGTAGTTTTACCATTTCTATCTTTTCATTCAGATTGTAAGGGATTACTAATAGAGAGTAACAGAGATAGAGGTTTTCACTCTAACATGGTTCTACAGCAACAAGAACACACAATTACATACACTATGGTACAATCATTCAAGTATTCCAAAAATATTGCTTATATTGCACATTTCTTCCAAACATTCATAGAAGTCTAGAACGAAACTGAATACGAGTATCAGGAAGAATTCCAACAATTTGAGTTAGAAAATGTTACGTTGGTTTTATTGAAGTTTTGCTGCAGAGCTTGTGTCTTTGGTTTCATTTACCGGCCATGAACGTCAGAAGGAGAAAAGTATCTCATAACATAATTATAAACTAAGCTATAAGCAATACATCTCTATTCATTAGACTGTGTAATGACATGAATCATCTTCACAAACCTGACATAAAGCTAGTATGTTGATTAAATGAAGAGAGCGAATATTATGCTATTTCTACTAATTCAATGGTGTTACCAAGCAAATGTGTCAGTAAAGATTTCTATAATAGAACAAACTGAATGGTTGATAGTAGAAACAATGTTGCGCCGTCTTGCGTCCCTCTTTCTCAGTGTCTGTGAGAAGAATAGACAATAAACATGTAGTAAGCTACATAAATCACCTGTTTCGTAAGCATCACTAACTACATTGTGAATGTCAGGTAGAAGTTTTAATATGTTTAATTATTATTATCAATTTTTCTATGTAGTCACTCAAACAATAGGGTGGGTTTTGGGTTGTCTTGTTTTCATACAGCGAGAAGTTTAATTACTTTACTATAAACACTGAACAATAATAGTCACATATATTTATATGTGATTTTTTGTTGTTGAATGAACCAATATGTTATTTTGTGTTCATACATAGCTTGTGCATGCTGCTTTATCCTATACTAAAACACACCTCACAACTTAGAATGTAAAAGTAATATTTAGATGGTTGAGGAGAGTTTATTCATGACATACCTGTTGGGGGTTAGAAAAGTCTGTTGTTGGCTATAGGATGTTGTTGCCCTGGTGCTCCCATTCTCTGCCTGAATACAAGACAGAAATAAGAGAAGCTTGTCTTTCTAACTACAAACTCAGTTGGACCGTTTAGGGGAGAGAACTCCCAAAAGTGCGGACCTTCTCTTTTTTCAACTACTAATTTTCTAGGCTGCATACATCATAACAGGACTTATGTTTGACATATTAAAGAAGGAAAACTTACTGTCTTTTGTAATGATGTGGGCATCGTTTCGTTCTTATCCCTAAAGCAAAAGAAACAATAAATAAATAAATAAATAAATACATAATATTATTTATTATTTATTTATTTAAACAATTATATGGATATTATATGAAAATATTCATACATTCTAACTGAAAAATTGGCAGCATATTTACATCAGTTGGTTCAATACTCTTGTTTTGTTTGGTGGGTGGGTGTTTCATGGGTACATTGGTGAGTGAATGCATAGTGGGTGTTTCATGGGTACATGGGGGTATATTGGTCAGTGAATGCAGGACTCACGGTTGCAGTGGCATACAGTGATGATGAGGAGGAGGAAGAGGAAGCCACAGCCAGCAGCCAATGGATCCCAAACAATCATATCACATGATGCACTAGGGTCCACCTTTCCCACTGCAAAAACACAAGTCAAACAGGGAAGACATTTGGGATAAATGTGTTACAATGTTCAACAGCATTGGATAATGGAAAATTCAACTTTGATTATACAAAACAACTCTATCAAAGATATGAGGACATTTATATTATAAAAATAATTGTGATAATGATGTCAATAAATATTCTACCTTTGCATGACTTAGCAGTTGTAGAGCTGGTTAGCTCTATGGCTGTGGTCATTGGTGTAGTCATCATGGTTGTTGTTGTTGTTGTCGCAGCTAAAAAGTGAAGCTTGTTAGCAAGGATTACTTTCAGACTGTTAATAGGCTATAAAGAACCTGATTTAAAAAACATTGATGTCTAGAACTGTATTATTCTGATACAATTTATGTAATTTAGCCTAGCTAGCCTACTCACCTGGCCCAGCAAGCCGAGTTACTTCACCAAACACAAGCGTTGATTGACGCACAGCTGTAGACCCCACTATCTCGAGCCTTTTCGAAAGCCTTCAGTATCAAGATGTTTTTGCTTATCTGCTCGTCGCTGAAGACATTGGTGTCCAAGTCTGTTTTCTTCTGACCGTCCTTAGTACTAAACGACGCAATAAACTCCATTCCAGCGTTGTCCTGCACTCGAAACCAAATCACCATGTTGCTCTTAGTCTTAGATTCCGGTGCACAAGTGATGTCCACACGGTCTCCATCCCTTTTCTCTGTTAGAGAACTCAGTTGGAGAGTTTCTGATAACGTTTGTGATTAAATATATGTAAGAAAGTACAAATTAGAGATTCAACAAATGAATAAATAAATCATTTCTTATTGAAGATGTCTTATTAGGCTAATTCAAAATGCAATTATTGAAACGTGATACATATTAGGACGGTTTACAAGGCTATAGCCTAAACAATATCTCACTTTAAAAATACACTCTAGACAAACCTACAACACAGAATTGATTAGGCCAACAAATACGTTACCATTCAAATTGAAATTAAAATAGAAAAGAAAATGCTGTAGGGCAGGCCTAGCCTGTATAGCAACACTTAGTATGAACTAGGCCTGTGAGAGTGCAAGTATTCTGGCAAAATCGTTGAAATCCATCGATGACTTTAAAACGATCCTACACTGAAGGTAATAAACGTACTACAGTATAGTAATATGAAAAAGTCTGACTTGACTTACCTTGACAAAAGAACAGTAAAACAAGTGTCTGCATCCACTTTTGGCCCATTTTAATGTATTTTGGCAAAGCAACACTTTCAAGCTCTTCTTCATGGAATGAAGAAACAGGTATGATGAGGAGCTCAACACGACTCTAAACCCCGCCCCAAGTCTTCTTTCATCACTGGTAAAAGCGGTCATTGCAGGAGTCTTGCACAGAGCTCGTGCACCCCAAGGTGGTCTGCAAGGCTGCTCTAGCAGAGCCCACCAATCCGCGCTGTGCCTCGCGACAGGCTGGCTTTGCACAAAAAAATGCACACATACACCACAATGTGTGTCATAAACTAGGTGAAGACGGTAAACACGAATGGAGTCAACATTTCAAAGGGGAATTTAAGTCAAGAGCAGCAGATCATTACAGACACTTTTGAGGAAGTGACTTTGTGCTACACCTTTGATAAACATCATATTGCAAGAATAGCCAAATAATATCATCAATAGGCCTATAATTTAAACAAATATTTAACCTTTATTTAACCAGGTAAGCAAGTTGAGAACAAGTTCTCATTTACAACTGCGACCTGGCCAAGATAAAGCAAAGCAGTGAGATTAAAAACAACAACAACACAGAGTTACATATGGAATAAACAAAAACAAAACTTACAGTCAATAACACAATAGAAAATCTATATACAGTGTGTGCAAATGTAGTACGTTATGGAGGTAAGGCAATAAATAGGCCATAGTGCAAAATAATTACAATTTAGTATTAACACTGGAGTGATAGATGTGCAGAAGATGATGTGCAAATAGAGATACTGGGGTGCAAATGAGCAAAATAAATAATGTAAATAACAATATGGGGATGAGGTAGTTGGGTGGGCTAATTACAGATGGGCTGTGTACAGGTGCAGTGATCGGTAAGCTGCTCTGACAACTGATGCTTAAAGTTAGTGAGGGAGATAAGTGTCTCCAGCTTCAGAGATTTTTGCAGTTCGTTCCAGTCATTTGCAGCAGAGAACTGTAAGGAATGGCGGCCAAAGGAGGTGTTGGCTTTGGGGATGACCAGTGAGATATACCTGCTGGAATGCATACTACGGGTGGGTGTTGCTATGGTGACCAATGATCTAAGATAAGGTGGGGATTTGCCTAGAAGTGATTTATAGATGACCTGGAGCCAGTGGGTTTGGCGACGAATATGTAGTGAGGGCCAGCCAACAAGAGCGTACAGGTCACAATGGTGGGTAGTATATGGGGCTTTGGTGACAAAACGGATGGCACCGTGATAGACTACATCCAATTTGCTGAGTAGAGTGTTTGAAGCTATTTTGTAAATGACATCGCCGAAGTCAAGGATCGGTAGGATAGTTTTACGAGGGCATGTTTAGCAGCATGAGTGAAGGAGGCTTTGTTGCGAAATAGGAAGCTGATTCTAGATTTAACTTTGGATTGGAGATGCTTAATGTGAGTCTGGAAGGAGAGTTTACGGTCTAACCAGACACGTAGGTATTTGTAGTTGTCCACATATTCTAAGTCAGACCCGTCGAGAGTAGTGATTCTAGTCGGGCGGGCGGGTGCAAGCAGCGTTCGATTGAAGAGCATGCATTTAGTTTTACTAGCGTTTAAGAGCAGTTATAGGCCACGGAAGGAGTGTTGTATGGCATTGAAGCTCGTTTGGAGGTTTGTTAACACAGTGTCCAATGAAGGGCCAGATGTATACAAAATGGTGTCGTCTGCATAGAGGTGGATCTGAGAGTCACCAGCAGCAAGAGTGACATCATTGATATACACAGAGAATAGAGTCGGCCCGAGAATTGAACCCTGTGGCACCCCCATAGAGACTGCCAGAGGTCCAGACAACAGGCCCTCCGATTTGACACATTGAACTCTGAGAAGTAGTTGGTGAACCAGGCGAGGCAGTCATTTGAGAAACCAAGGCTATTTAGTCTGCCAATAAGAATGCGGTGATTGACAGAGTCAAAAGCCTTGGCCAGGTCGATGAAGACGGCTGCACAGTACTGTATTTTATCGATCGCGGTTATTATATCGTTTAGGACCTTGAGCGTGGCTGAGGTGCACCCATGACCAGCTCGGAAACCAGATTGCATAGCAGAGAAGTTACGGTGGGATTCGAAATGGTCGGTGATCTGTTTGTTAACTAGGCTTTCAAAAACTTTCGAAAGGCAGGGCAGGATGGATTTAGGTCTGTAACAGTTTGGATCTAGAGTGTCACCCCCTTTGAAGAGGGGGATGACCGCGGCAGCTTTCCAATCTCTGGGGATCTCAGACGATACGAAAGAGAGGTTGAACAGGCTTGTAATAGGGGTTGCGACAATTTCGGCGGCTAATTTTAGAAAGAAAGGGTCCAGATTGTTTAGCCCAGCTGATTTGTAGGGGTCCAGATTTAGCAGCTCTTTCAGGACATCAGCTATCTGAATTTGGTTGATGGAGAAGTGGGGGGGGGGGGGGGGGGGGGGGGGGGGGGCATGTGCAGGTCGCAGCGGAGGGTGCAGAGCTGGTGGCCGGGGTAGGGGTAGCCAGGTGGAAAGCATGGCCAGCCATAGCAAAATACTTATTGAAATTCTCGATTATCGTAGATTTATCGGTGGTGACAGTGTTTCCTAGCCTCAGTGCAGTGGGTAGCTGGGAGGAGGTGCTCTTATTCTCCATGGACTTTACAATGTCCCAAAACTTTTTGGAGTTAGTGCTACAGGATGCAAATTTCTGTTTGAAAAAGCTAGCCTTTGCTTTCCTAACTGATTGTGTATATTGGTTCCTGACTTCCCTGAAAAGTTGCATATCGCGGGGGCTGTTCGATGCTAATGCAGTACGGCACAGGATGTTTTTGTGCTGGTCAAGGGCAGTCAAGTCTGGGGTGAACCAGGGGCTATATCTGTTCTTAGTTCTACATTTTTTGAACAGGGCATGCTTATTTAAGATGGAGAGGAAAGCACTTTTGAAGAACATCCAGGCATCCTCTACTGACGGAATGAGGTCAATATCCATCCAGGATACCCGGGCCAGGTCAATTAGAAAGGCCTGCTCGCTGAAGTGTTTTAGGGAGCGTTTGACAGTGATGAGGGGTGGACGTTTGACCGCGGACCCATTACGGACGCAGGCAATGAGGCAGTGATCGCTGCCTGGTTGAAGACAGCGGAGGTGTGTTTAGAGGGTAAATTAGTCAGGATGATATCTATGAGGGTGCCCATGTTTACGAATTTAGGGTTGTACCTGGTAGGTTCCTTGATAATTATAAAGGCTATTAGAGATTATGCAATTTGTTTCAAATAATATAAAAAAATCTATATTTTATTTATTTGTGTTATTACTATTATCTTTGCTGTGTTCTGTATTAATCATGTAGTAGCCTATATCGTGTCAGAATTAGGCTGTGTTTCACTAATCTACAGCCTATGTCAGTGGTGTTATGTCAAAGTTTAATAGATAGGCTGTAGCAGATTAGACATCAGAAATATCCCTGAAATAGTTTCACAAAGACATAGTTGTTCCTGAAAATGTTTAAACATCAACTGGTACCTGGGTGTCTGAAAATACATTAGGATAGGCTGGTTTGAAACACAGCTGGGCTATTTAATTTTTCAATTCCTCCTATTTCCTGTTTTTTTTTCACAATAGAAAAAACAGCAGCAAGTGCACAGGAAGGATACAAAATTGCTAAAAGACATCACAAATTGTGAGTAGGCATTGCATTAGTCGAGGATTCTCAATAAATTTGTAAGCAGCCTGGCAAGAAATAAAAGGTAGAATATTATGCCATGATTTGAGACAACATTCAAATAATTTTGATTGTTTTGATGGGTGAGGCTCTGCTAATAAAACATTTTAGGGTTCCTCCCTTGTGCAAATAAAATAGAATCAAAATTAATTTAGATCACGTTTGGATTAATTTTGATAACATTTCAATCTATAACTATAAAGGTTAATAAATAACAAGGCTTATTCATGAGATATTGAGTGATGTGAATAAATGTTTGGCTATATCGCCCCCTAAATGCAAGAAATAGCCAACAGCCTACCTACATTCGTCATTCAAGTCGAGAAAATGAAAATGGCTGCACCTGTTGTCGATAAATCAGCGGGGACAACCTAGACAAAAGGAAACCCGCCTGCAGAACCCAATGTTTTGAGACATTAACATATTTCAAAAAGCAACTAAATTGTAGTCTAGACTCATTGTAGACTCATGTATCCACTTCATTGACCTTTTACGCATATGACTATAGGCCTATTGACATTGCGCTACAGTCTCGCGGACATACAGGCTATAGTTCTAATCACATATCTCTTGCCTATTTGTTTGCGTAGGCGAATGTAACCGGTGTGAAATGGCTAGCTAGTTAGCGGTGCGCACTAAAAGCGTTTCAATCGGTGACGTCACTCGCTCTGAGACCTTGAAGTAGTTGTTTCCCTTGCTCTGCAAGGGCCGCGGCTTTTGTGGAGCGACGGGTAATGGTGCTTCGAGGGTGACT